GTTGAGGGGGGAAAGGTGACTGAGTGAAGGCCCGGCTGTCCAAGGCACCCGGCCTTGGCCGTCTCCCCACCAGCTGTTCGCCGCCTGTTCCAGCTGTGCGTGGGCCAAGGAGGCTAGCCTTGTTCCTCCCCCCCCACCAGCCAATGGCATGCCAGTAGTCTTGACTGGCAGCCGACGGGCCAATGGCTGAGGGAGCACATGCAATCTTGCCACCCCATAGGACAGAAGCACTCCAAATCCCTTTTATATATAAGGAGAGATTCCATTTGGTCTGATGGAGAGCTTCAGCCTGCTATCCAGGTGTTCTTTACCAAAATCTGAAACCCCAGCTCTCGGCATCTGTGAGAAAACATACGTCAACTTTCTCTGACATTAGACTCTGAATTCTTAGATGGAATTCTTTCTCAGGTTATGGTTAACACTTATTCAAGTGTTATTCAAAAGGTGAACCTGTCTGATAGACTTTCAGTCAGACTCTTCAGACATCCACTCTTTTAGCTGAACTTTCACTTTACTGAACAGTAACTGCCACTGAACTCCTTCTCTGTCTGACTGACTAATTGTATAGTTTTCCTCAGTGGGTGCTAGCCAATCAGAGAAAAAAAGCAGCCCTGTCACTCAAGCTCAACATTCTCGAGCAGAGTTAACTATTCACCTTCCTTCTCTGACTTTATTGCATTAGGAAACAGCATTTTAAATGTAGTCCATCACAGATGGTAATGAAGAGAGCTTCTGGGAACTTGCAATACTTAGTACACATGCTCTGGGGTGCCTTAATGTGTACTTTTTCAAGGAATAGCTCCTCATTGCATCAGAAATTACTTTAAGAACTCTCCTATGATTTAAAAAAAACCCTTGTAATAAGACACAAGTTTCCTTTTCAAACTGAAATCTTATTGCATGTATCATCCTCACGTACTTCAAGGAGTATGTTCAAGGAACTCTGTCCCTTACAAAATGACATGAAAGTTTTTGCAACAACATTTTTTTAGTGATTAAGGTAGAAAATTCTTTGCCCCTATACTTAGTATCTCACTATATGGTACATTTCTAGTAATATTGCACAGTAAATAGTGTAGAGAATGTTTATGGGTCAGAATGTGTAAAGCAATGCCTTTTAGTGCCACAGAAAACAAGATAAACAAGAGCTTTCATACTGGCATGTATACAAGATCTACTATACTCCATTTTTGCTGCATCTAGAGGAGGCTCAAGTGGGGCAGCAAATTTGTCTGCAACCTGAAATGTCTGCAACCTGAAACTCACCTTTGAAATTGCTGAAGTTGTGGCAGAAATGGATTAAAAGCAGAAACACTATCAATTAATTTGTTTCCTTTTGTTATAATGAGTCTGACTGCCAGGTGACAGTTTAGGAATAAAGAGATGCCAAATCCTTTTTTAGAAATATTTCTGAACATTTATTTAAGAATGTACACATAAACATATAACCATAAAAACAGCAGATAAAATCAAGATAAACCATGGAGACATAAAAAGCCCAATCTTGGTGTCTGGGGAAACCAAATCCATGGTTCAGTAGAATATCTCCCCTACCAGTCAGATGAGACACACAGAAACCTTTCACCTGTTTTCTGAAACTTAAAATGGATTGAGCCAATTTATAATAAATGAGAATATCATAAACTAGCATATTGTGTTGTCTTGCTAATAGGTCCTGAATGGTTAAGTAGCACACCTGCCCATGCATACCTATGTATGTCTTTGATGGGAAATCAGGAGCTTGAAAAGAAAAATTGAACTATCTCTAGGAGACCAGGCTGTTTGCATTGGAGGATCCATGGGGATCACACTGCTGGCCTGTGCTTCCACATAACTTGTTCAAGTCATCTTTTTCTTTTTTCCTTCTACAACATGCTTTCTGTCCTGTTCCACCTTGTCTTCTAACTCTCCTGATCTTCCTGCCCCCTCACAGCCAACTCTCCATCTTCTCATTGAACCTGTCCTCCCAGCTGCCATTTTCTCTCTTGGCTCTCCTTTCCTCTCTCAATGGCCCGGTGGCCTTCTTGTCTCCTTTGGTCTTCCCCGTTCTGCCCCTCTTTCATGCTGGTAGGGAGCACTGGTCACTCTTTTGTGTTGTTACAGAAAGCAAAGATGCTAGGAACTTTTTCACATTTTGTACCTTTTCTCTTAAAAAAAAAAACCTCGAGACTTTCCTGCAAATCTCGGATACATTCCAGGTTTGCAAAAAATAGGTACTCTAGTCCTGGGTTGCGTGCAGTTGATTATCTGTACAATGAAGCTGCCCTTGGGGACTCAGGGAGTATTCTTATTGGGGCTTAAAAATATATATATATCAAAATCAGCAAATAGTGCTATGTTGTCAGGTAATTCCTTGCCAACTATGCTGTCTTCAACACCTTTCCAAGTTCATAATACTGTATTTTGTATTTCTAGACAATGCAGGCTGTTAATAAAAAGATGGATCCACAAAAGACATTGCAAACAATGCAGAATTTCCAGAAGGAAAACATGAAAATGGAAATGACAGAAGAAATGAGTAAGTTAAAGCTTTTCACATTATACCCCAAACCATTCCTTTGTTCATTATTGGATCACTAACAGAACTCAGGATAGTTGTATTTTACTGTTTGGATAACATCTTTTTTAGTTTGAACTGTACCTGCAGTTTGCACCAACATTTTGGAATGCCCTCTATCCCATAGGAATAACATTGTGGGGTGCATTTGGCGCTGCAGCAGGAAGGCATAGATCAGAAAGGCATGCCCTGCTGACAGAATGCTTCCATTAGCATTAATTTCTGGCAGTATCCAAACCCACCATTTGTTCTTAGTTTGCATGGCAAGCATATGCTCCTGTTCATTGCCAGTTTGGATGCATGCTTTGCCAGACACCAGGATGTTTCTAACGGTTTCCAGTGTTGGAGAAAGAGAGAGTAAATAAATATAGTCTTCATTGTTCATATAGCATCAAACCATCATCTTGGTTGTGCCTGAACTCCGTTGGAGTGTCTATAAGGCTTTGAATACAAGAGGCCATAAAAAGACTGTCTTGTAGGTTTAAAGCTGCAGTTGACCAAGTAGTAACAGAGACTCTTGCCTCAGAATAGATCCCGTCAGTGTCAATATTCAGCATTATTCATTTAAAACATCACCTTCTCCTTCAGTGGGGGGAAGTACTTGCAACTATTAGTTTTATGTATTACTAGGAAGAATGCCCGTTGTGGAACTGAAGACAATGGGGTGGTAGCCTGGCCGCGAGTGTGGGTCGCCGTCTCCATCTGGCCCCCCCAGGGCGAAGCTGGCTGTCCTGCCCCGCACAGTTGAGGCTCCGGTGGGTCAAGGCGCCTGGCCTAGCCCCTCCCCCAGCACACCCGCCCGCTTGAGGCAATGGGCACGAGGCGGGCCAGGCGCAGGGCGCCGTCCACTTCCCACCCACCCCCCAACTCAGGGAAGCAGCCACATTCCCCCTCGCAGGGTCGGGGCCCCGACGGCTCAAGGCGCCTGGGTTGGCCGCTCCCGCCACC